CCAACTAAATGATATGCATTTATTGTTAATCTGATCGACGTACAATGGATCGGAAATAAATACATACAATTTATACCATATTATGTATTTAATAATCCGAGTATAAATGGTACTTAGGTACCTATTCTATTTATAAATATTGTCTGAAAACATCAAATTGTACGTTATTATATAATAAAATCCCAATATATAGATATAAAACACCAAGAAAATTACTTCAGTAGGTATATTATACGTGATGTTTACGGTATGGAATGTTTGTTGAATTGGTATACTTACTCAGTAAATAACGATATATTTTGTAATCGCCTTTCGGATTTTTTTTTTTTGTTTAAAAATTCAAACTGAAAAATGGCAATTCGTTCAATATTGCAATATAACTGCTGGCACCACGTTAAAAATACTCATTTGAACAACACTTATTACGACAGCAATAAATACGCGATTGAATTGCAGTATAGCGGATCATGATGTTGCCGATGGGATCAGCTAACACAGACTAACCAGTATCGCTGTCTAAAGGAATAAGTTATGTTTTTTTTTTACATATTATCACGTGGTTGACCCTACCACACAGGTTAGATACATCATATGATACGAGTAAATCAGCGGAATTTGCGAGTATAGGTTTATTAATTAGTTTTATTTTACTATATTTACACATGTTTGCACAGACCAACGTATTATGGAATAGAATTGAGTGAATCTATTCTGAAAATAGACAGTGTAATAACATAGTACTATAATATCGTGTGTCATTATAATATTGTAACATATATCTTCCAACCGTGAGAGGAACGTGAAGATTACTGGTTTTAGTTTTTTTACATTAGTCGTGCATGCTGTATTCATATACATTATATTAGGTATGTATTATTTAAGTTAAACCATTAAACAACTCATTACTTGTTGCTTGGTATACCAGATAATGTAGTACATATTTCCTTAATTTAGTCTCATAGACCATAGTACCTACATATTAAAGTCGTGATGTTTCGTGGTTACCAACTAAAATGTTTAGCAAACCATTTCAGTTATGATTTTTTCGTTACTCTGCAGAAGTGACTTCCAATATCGCCTGATTATTAATTTTTGTGTGTCTTATAGACCATATAACAGAGGTTCTTAACCTGTGGTCCGTGGCCCCCCGGGGGTTCGCGATACTCATGCCGGGGGTCCGTGGCAGCCTTAACACATAACATAGGTACGTCAATAGGTGACATGAGTGCATTATTACAATATTGTGGGACTATTATTTTTTTTCATATATAATATGTAGATTCTACACCAAATAATTGTATTATTAATGTTTAATAAGTAATCAGTTTTCTTGTTCATACGAAATGTACATGTTTACAGCATGGTAGTCTCAGCAGTCTTATATTTACTGCCACTAAGTACAGTTGATCGATAGTAGTATCGTACTCAATTATAGTTTTATATTACATTTTTATAAAAAATAAATTGTAATAAAAATAATAAAAAATGTGCATGTTTTTTTATGTATACTAATGTAATTTGTAATATAAAATAATTATTATAATTTTGGTTATGATAACATGAGATGTTTTGTATAAAAAAAGGGATTAAAAAACCCAAAAATGTGCACTTAAATTTTTTTTTAAAGTTTAATTAATAAAATATATTAAGACAATTAATATCATTTATAAGTAGGTATTTACCTACTATGCATCAGGATTAATTTAGGTACCTAGTTTATAAATACTTCATAAAATTGACAAATAAATTTTAAAATAATGTTATCTCAATGAAACTAACTTTTATTTTTATTGATTAAGAATTAATAGTCAATTATATTGGTTGATTGATAAACTTTAGTTTTTTATTAATTAATTTGGCATATCTTCGTCTGTGCTGTTTCGGGTGTGTTTAAATTATGTAATGAAGGAATGTCGTTGTATAATAAACGTTATAAACAATTTTGCAAAAAAATTACCAAAAATAAAGAAATAAGCCTCAAAAAACAATAATAAGCCTAAATATGTTTCAAACACTAAAAAAACCTAAATATGCAACAAATAAAATTGTAAATTTTGATTTGTCGTAACATAAAATAAATTTGTATCTCGTCATCGAAGAAGATGATAAAATTATGTAATATTCTTGCACAAAGTGGTATATTTTTTATGTGAAACAAAACAGATAGATCTGTTCTACACTTCTACCCACGATTTAAGATAGTATGGTTGCCCAACGAGCTATGATAAGACAGCATTGGATTTAAATCGTACCCCCGGTGCTAGTGCTTCTAGTGGACTATTTTGTAATTTATAATATAATACGATCATTATATATATTTTTATTGTATTTACTATATAGGTATAACATAACAACTTTTATTAGTTTTAATTTTAAGCGATATAAGCTCTGTATGAGGGGGCACCAGTAGATCACATGACTTTTCAAACCGTATGCCGTGTGATTACATTTTTCTAATGGGTCGTTGGGCAATCATACCATCTTAAATCGGGGTTCTACCCGAACAGATACCTTATTACCCATAAGGTGCTTTTTTGTGCATGTATAGCTGGTGTCTGATCAAAGCAAATAATAATTATTACAATAATAAGACTGTCATTTTAAAATTTGTATAATATAATTCGGATGATCAAAAGTATTATACATGTGTGCAAAAGTGTGAATATCTCAAAATAATTAAATCAAGTTAATAAAATAAAAAAATAAAAACAACTGTTTTACAGCTGTCTCTATATTTGCATCAGTCATTTGGCTCTGGGCAACAGTCTAGGACCGAATAGTTTTATGGCAATCGCCCCTATAGGCGCCGTTAATAAAATGGAGAGCACGGCGATGGTCACCAGTCGAGTTCCACATTCGATGTCTTCTTTCGTTCCAAATTGCCTTGCCATATTTAACGCAAGTGGAGCTAAAATAGCCTACAAATAAATTGAGAACCAAAAATGAATGCGCCAATTGTATTAAAAAAACATAGGTTTACTAAAAACAATATTGTTTACATATTATAGTACCTACAGATGCCTAGTACTTTTGGTTGACACGTGACCACTTACTTGTATCGTAGCCTTGGGGAGCCAAGAAATGTTTACGAATATGATTTCCTTACGACTGAATCCAGAGCCCAATACTGAACACGTAGTGACAATCATACGAACCTAAACAGATATTATGAATATTTAAATAGTTATTTTATTTAGATTTTTATTTAGAAACTATTTAATATTATTTATTTAAGTTGTATTTTAATATTAAAAAATCCTAAGTCACTTGATAGATTACGAGAACAGAAAATTTAGTTATAGCATTTAAATGTTCAAAATTATTTCAAATTGGTTTAAATCTAGTTCACTGACCATAATACCCCTATTATTGGGTGAGTCAACTTTCTAAGTGATATATTCGAAAGTCATGTATTCGAAAAAATTATCTATCTATGTATGTATCTAGGTATAATATAATATAATATGTTCGAATAGATATATTTTTCAATTTGTATACTATTTTTTTATTTTTTTTTATTTGTATTACGTCTTCATCAATGAATCATTGGCTGGGAAAAAACAATTAATATTTTATATTTACATTATAATAATATGTACATTCATCATAATAATTAAAAATTACAAAATATATAATTTGGTAATAATAATAATAATAATAATAATAGGTAGTTATAATTATAGTACATTTGTGAAATATTTAAATTCAGTTGTACAGATTAGTATTTTTTAAGGAAATACATTAATAAATTCAAGTTTTACAATATAGTTATACAATATCTTTAAGACTTGTTGGTTGAGGAAAGTTTTTCCTCTCTTCAACTAAGTATGGGCATTCAAGGAGGAGGAGGTGTTACATAGATATTAAAGATGTGTTGCAGAATTCGCACAAAGGTCTTGCTTCTTTTTTTATTAAATGAACGTGGTGATGTTTGTGTGGCTGATTTTTATACGTGACTATATTTTCGTGACAGCATTTTCGATATTGGTATCGGTATGTATAGTGTTGTATATATAACGAAATTATAAAATATCAAAATAAAATACGAAGCAGAAAGTCAATCAAACCGAGTCAGCAAAATTGCCACAACTACTTAAGGCGACGTCTGCGACGGGAGCGGGGTTGTTGTTTTGTTCGTTTCGCTCATTGTAGTAGCCAGCGAGCTGCAGTATTTTTACGTTTCTTTTATTATTTATTTTTGATATATTTTATTATATTTAATTCTTTTTAAAAAACCAAGTGTCACTGTTTTTCTTTACGCCTTTTTTTTAGAATATTTTTATCTTACGAGTTGATACAGAGACGTTGTGGTGAATAACACTTTTAAAAACAGGTAGTAAGACACTGTGGTACTTACTTTCTCGCCCAGTACTCGTTATCGTGGTCAGTCGAGAAAGAGTAAGACTTTGTCTAGGTAAAAGATACCTCACCCTCGAACATCCAGTACTCGTTATCGTGGTCAGTTGTTCGGGAGTAAAATAACCTTAGAGTTGTATAGTGTAAATCCTGCTGGACTTTTATTTAATTATCCTATTGCGCAGTACTCGTTATCGTGGTCACCAAAAGGAGAACTTAAATTAAACTCATACAGCAGGTGTCAATAATTTACTCGTTCGACGGTTAGAGAATCGGAAACCGAAATATATCTGTTATATACGTCAAGCCTTTGCGTGGCGTATACGACAAAGTGGCGCCCAACATAGGCTCGATACTTCACGGGATTACCTCGAAACATTGTTTGTTTTATTTTATTTTTGTTCGCGTTTATAAACTTTTTTTTGAATTTAACTTGAGTGTAAACGTAGTGAATAAATACATGTGCCGTCCATAAAGTGTAAAAAAAAAAAAAAAAAAAAAGCAGCATAGCGGTCTTCAATATAACTCCAAAGAAAAATCGCCACAGTCCGGAAACAAAGGTACATATTAACGATAATAATAAAAGAAAGAGAGATAAACAATTCTTATAATAAATAATAAATATTCTAATTTTTTATGCCTTGATGAATGATTTAAAAGATACAAAGTCGGAAATCTCGATTACTATTAATAAAGCTACGGACATTTACGTTCTAAAAAAAGAAGATCTAATAAAATATTGTAAATCAAAAAAATTAAATTCAGCTGGTAGATCATCCGATTTAAGATCTAGACTTAGTAGGTACATAAAAGGCATTTTAAGCCCAGACGACGTAGAAAATACTCTAAGCAACGAGGAACGTATAAAAATTATAAATAAATCAATAGCCGAAAAAATTGATCTTGGAACAATAGAAAAAGAAATAGGCCTACCCAATTTAAGTCCTGAAACCTCTCAAATAAATACAGAACTCACAAATAAACTCCTCCACACAACATTAGATAGCTTAGAATTATTTGACAATTTAAACAATAGTGTTAACCTATATTCAAATAAAGCTCAGGATATATTAAATTCAACCGAAATAAATTTTTCCGAATCTGATAACTTAATAAATTTAGATACTACCAATAATCTTGAAAATACTACAGTCCCATTTGAAGGGAATAAACCCGAAGAAAATAATAAAAACTATATATTAAATCAACCATCATATACACGCAACACACCAAACATGTTTAACCAAGGCTCAGGGAATAAATATATGGTAATAAAACCAGATAGCTTTTCCGGACAAGGGGATATTAAATTTTTTTTTAAACAATATGAAAAAGCAGCAGAAGTAAATAATTGGGACGATAAAGAAAAAATAAAATTCTTGTCAATATTTTTAAAAGACACAGCCAACTCCTTTTTGGAAAATTTAGAAAATATAAGAGAAGATTGGACATGGGGAGATTTAAAAAACGAATTTTTTAGTGAATTTCAACCAATAGGATATTCGATACTTTTAAAAAATAAACTAGAAAATAGAAGACAGGAAAATTCAGAATCAACTACGAGTTACGTCACTGATATAGAAAACTTGTGTAGACAGGTGAATAAAAATATGAAGGAGGAAGATATATGTATATACATATTAAAAGGATTAAAGGAACCAATTTTAAATGCAATTTCCCTACATGACAATAGCAATTTAAAAAATATCAGAAATAACTTAAAAAAATTCGAATTGATGCAATTTAGAATAAATTCTAGGGATACAAATCAAAACGAATACACTAAAATATTAAGTGAACAAGTTCTACAATTAAACAAAAAGACAAATGACAGAGAATTTGAAGAATTTAAAATAGAACTAGAAAATAGAGACAGAGAACATAAAAAAGAGATTAAAAAATTAAGTGACGAAATAAAACAAATAAGTATATCTGGAAAAATCCAAAATAAATCCGTAAACTTCGTAAACGATAATTTTGATGAAATAAATAATTATAGCCGTTATAACGGCAGAGGTAGTAGTTATGAGAAAGAAATGAATTATCAAGCACCCAGACGAAACTATAGAGACAGAAGTCCATACCCGGAAGATTACAATCGTAAAAATAGAGAATCTAATATGGACAGACAATACGGTAGAGATAGGTCACTATCTAGAGATAGGGAATATTATAACAGAAGACAAAGAGAACCCAGTCCATATAGAAATAATAATAGAGATTACAGAAATAGGTCAAATTCTAGAGACAGAGACAGCAGCCGAAATAATTATTACAGACCAAAACGTGAATACAGTAGGGATAATAGCCACGAAAGAACACCAGAACGGTATAGAGACAATTACGAAAAAGAATCAAAAAAAGTTACATGCTATAAATGCAATGAAAAAGGTCATTATGCGGATAGATGTACTCTATCAAAAAACGATTAAGTCCCGAGTCAAAAGAAGATTCGGAAAATACAACTCGGGAATATAATTATCAAATTAATAACACAATAATATCTTATGAAGAAAATAAGGAAAATATCGATTACTTACAATTCGTGGAAAGCTGGTATAAAAAACAAAATTCTAATAAAACAATCAAAAACGATGACATCGAAAATAGTGAATTTGAAATTGAATACATATACTCAAAAAAAAATACGTTGAAACCACTAACCGAATTCCAAGATTTTTTATTACACAACAATACAAATAAAACATTTAGTTGTGACTACGCAGAAATTACGGGTGATATATTTTCTTTAAATGCAGATGTTGCAATTGGACACTGTGTTAGTAAATGTTTCACGATGTCAAAAGGGATAGCCACACAATTTGAAGCACAATTTAATAATAAGGACAAGCTGATTAATCAACGTAAAAATATTACTGAAGTAGCACATTTAAAATTAAACGGCCAATGGATTTTATACCTTATTACAAAAAACAATCACTATGACAAACCAACTTACTCAAATATTTTTAAAACATTGAAAAATACTAAGCAATTTTGTACTGAAAATAAAATCAGAACATTAGCTTTGCCAAAAATATGCTCGGGTTTGGATAAAAAACAATGGGATATAATAGCTGACATGATACGATTTATTTTTCAAAATTCAATAACGAAAATAAGAATATTCACCTTACCAAAAAACGAAAATATCCAAAAGAGCGACATTTTAAATACTAGTTATAATATAATTCCAAACACTAATATCAACTACAGTTTAAAAAAAGAAATAGCATTCATTGCAGGCTCATTTGTTAAGTTAAAAGAGGTACCGTATGACCGTGATTGTGGAGCCCACGCATTACGCATATGTTTACAAAATCTTAATATTAACAAAACAACAGCAGAAATTTTGAATATGCTAACTATTCCTAACTTAAAATCAGGCTACTATTTTAAAGATGATGACTTAGCTTTTATTTGTGACCAATTCAAGATAAATTTATTTATAATCTATGAAATTAACGAGAACTCTAACGCAATAGTATACTGGAAACCCAGTCGCCAAAATATAGGTATCTTCCATAAGAATTGTCACAGGACACCCGGTATATCCACCGAAATAAATAATCCACGCACCTTTTCAAATATAACAATCAACACGATATTTCCTAACCTTAACATAATAAAAGAAAACGTAGATGACTACTTAGACAAATACCAAAACGATTTGCAATTATCAAATCAAAACTTTGCAGAAAACAAAAACAAAGATAACAAAAAATTAATAATAAATACAGAATGTGGACAAAGAGTATTATCAATGAAAGTAGAAATTGACGGAACGGAAAACTACGCTATATTAGATACAGGCTCAAATCTGTCATGTATAGATTACTCGTTAACAAAAAATAAACAACTTATTAAACCTGAAGAAAATATTATAATAACAAGTGCAGACAATACAGAATTAAAACAATTAGGTAAAACAGAGATAACAATCAAAATAAAAGATGACCACTACCTAATAAATGCATATGTAATTAAAGGACTACATTGCAAATTGCTCCTAGGCAATGATTTTAACATTAAGAATAATGTAATAATTGACTTTGAAAATAAAAACATACAACTTAATAAAAATGTTATCATACCAATGGACAATAACTGGTATGACTATCACAAAAATAATATTACAAATAAATATACAAAAATCAATTATATTACCAGTATAAATTATAACAAAAGGAAAGAAAACCAAACCAAAAATGAAAATATAACAACTCCACATGAGCCAAAATTAAAATATGAAAATATTAATTCAGACACGAACAAAGACGAGAAAAAAAATAAAGAGAAACATTATTTTAAATTGGAAACACAAATTTTAAATAATAATGAAAAATGTGTTTCAGGGAACACTATCCCAAATTTGTATACACAAACGTATAAAGGCATGACAATAGGTAAAATAGAAAAAACAAATGATTCTGTCAACAAAGAAACAATCTCAACAATAATTAATAAACCGGAACAAGAAATTAGTGATAAACAAGGAACCGTTATAAGAATATCAAATGAATTAAATAGTGAACAGAGGGAAAAGGCAAAAAGTCTAATAAACAAATACAAACATTTATTTACATCCGACCCGCTGGACATCGGTTGCGCAAATGTAGAACCATGCGAAATTAACTTAAAATCAAATAAACCAATTTTTCAACCTCCCTACAGAGTAGCGCCAACCCAAAGGGAAAAACTAAAACTTTTAATAGATCAAATGATAGCCTCTGATATAGTTGAACCCAGTAGAAGTAGTTATGCTGCTCCAGTATTTTTAATACCTAAGAAAGAAATTGGGGAGTATCGATTTTTAGTCGACTATAGGAAACTAAACGATGAAACAATCAGTGATAAGCATCCTATCCCGAGGTCACAGGACTTGTTTAGGAGCCTAGAAGGAGCTAAATACTACTGCACGATTGACATGGCCCAGGGTTATTTTCAATTACCAATAAGGGTTGAAGACAGATACAAAACTGCTTTTATTACAGATTTTGGCCTTTATCATTTCAAACGTATTCCTCAAGGTTTTAAAAACTCAGGACCAATATTTCAAAGAATAATCAATAATTTGTTTAGTGATTACTTATATACGACTATGGTTGCATATTTAGACGATATTTGCTGTTTCGGGAAAAACTTTGAATCATCATTAGAAAGACTAAGAAACATTTTTATTCGGTTGGACGAGGCAGGACTAAAATTAAAAACAAATAAATGTGTATTTTTTAGCTCTAAAATAGAACTTTTAGGACACGAGGTTTCCAACAGAGGAATTGTTCCATTAGAAAAAAATGTAGTAGCAATAAAACAATTTCCTATACCTAAAAAGGTAAAAGATGTAAGGTCGTTCATTGGGTTAACAAGTTACTATAGGAAATATATAAAAAACTTTGCCAAAATTGCGAGTCCATTAATAGATTTAACAAAAAAGGAAAATAAATTTAGTTGGGGCGAGAACCAAAATAACGCTTTTAATACTCTAAAAAACTTAATAATTACGGCACCCGTTTTAGCACATTTTGAGGACACGTACCCGGTTTTCGTCACGACTGACGCTTCCTTAGATGGGCTTTCAGGTATTTTAGAACAGGAAAACCCGGATGGAAAAAAGCATCCAATTGCATTTGCATCTAGGAAACTAAAAGGCGGAGAAAAAAATTTTTCGACGACAGAGTTAGAAATGTCAGCCGTAGTATTTGCACTTAATTATTTTAAAGAATATCTAATAGGTAGGAAAGTTACTGTTTATAGCGACCACTCAAGCTTACAATATTATAAGACGATGAAAAATCCTTCATCTAGAATAACGAAATTTATCTTCAAGTTATTAGAATTTGACTTAGAAATTAAGCATAAACCGGGTGCAGGGAATTTAGCTGCAGACTGTTTATCTCGATATCCAGTAGAAAATATCAATACATTAATTACTGAATTAAAGAATTTAGAGAACAATGACCCGACAGCTATCAATGAGGTTAATACTGATATATTAAAAGAAAAACAACAATTGGATGAATTTTGTAACGGCATTATTGATGCAATAAAAACCAAAATTAATTCTAAATACAAAAAGAAATCTAGGCAATACTGTATAAAAAATGAATTACTTTATTATAAAAATTGGACACCCCATGGAGCAAATAATCTATTAGTAATACCAAAAAGTTTAATTAACACTATTTTGAAATCCTACCACGAATCAGTTTTCAGTGGACATTTTGGTGTAACAAAAACCTTGGCTAAACTAAAACAAAAATACTACTGGCCCACAATAATTCAAGATACTATACAATTCATAAAAACATGCGCTTCTTGTCAAATGATAAAAAATCCGACAGGTAAAGGCCATGGGTTATTACAACCAATACCTCTAACGTCAGGAAAACCGTTGCAAAGATTGACATTCGATTACTTAGGCCCATTACCCACTTCAAGAGGGAAAAAGTACCTTATTGTAGCGACTTGTAACGCAACAAAAATGGCGTTTGCAAAGGCCGTCGCAAATGCCAACGGAGCTGCAACAATTAATTTCTTAATGGATTTAGTAACGTCGTACGGAGTACCAAAATACTTTTGTAGCGATAGAGGCACTCACTTCAAAAACAAAGAAGTAGAATATGCGTGCCAAAAATTAGGTATTACGCAATTATTCTCTAGTGCATATCATCCTCAATCAAATGGAATGACAGAGCTCATGAATAAAATAATTTGCAATAGCTTATCACACTACGTAAATGAAAACCAAAAAGATTGGACATTATACTACAAAATGGTAATTTTCGCCTACAACTCATGTCCAAGCTCGAGGTTAAAATTTAGTCCATTTTATTTACTCCATGGTATAGAAGCAAACCAACCATTAGACAATAAATTAACGATAGACAATGAATTATTTAACTTAACGAAATCCTTGAAACAATTACAAACAATTAGAGATACTATACCCAAAATTATCGAAAAGGAGCAGGCTATTCAAAAAAAACAGTATGACTTAAAACACAAATATATTAATTTTAACCCGGGACAAAAGGTATTAATAAAATTTGATTTCCATGAACCCAATAAATCAAAAAAACTAGCATATAAGTACAAGGGTCCTTTCACGATTATCGAAAAATTAACAGACGTAAACTACAGAGTAGAACTGATATTACGAGGAAAAAAAGAAATCGATGTTATACACGTACAAAGAATGAAACCATTCTACGAGACAGATATACCACAAACATAGACGGTCTATAGGTTAGGTTAGCCTATATAGCTTATAATTTAAGCGACTAAATATAAATAAATTAGGAATATAAAAGTTAACATAATAAAAATTACCGAAATTCCTATATAAGAATACACCACATAAAACACATAAACACATACTTATCCGTAATCACAATAATCATATTCCATATAAATAATTAGTATACTAACAACTCGGTGGTCCATAATAAAATGTGAATACGATAAAAAGAACGGTATAAAACAATAAGACAAAAACGATCCGGACGCTAAGAAGAACTATCGTACACTAACAAGCCTCAACAAAATCAGTGAAATAAATAATACGATTATTTAACAAAAAACAGTATACATATAATATATTATAGTCCTACGCTAATCTAATAAGAACGAACAACCAACAGATTAAAATGCTACTATACCGCCGTTTGAGAAAAAAATATATATATATGTAGACGGTTAATGTATATAATATATTCCCGCGTAAGCATAAAACAAACACCCGGCAAAGATATTCTGCTGTACCTTCTTCACGTAAAATATAAAAATGCATGGATTCCTAGAAATATTGCTAACTATAAAAATAACATAGAGCTCATAATATAATATTATTAATCACCTATAAGTAACAGCGAGCATAAATAATGTTTTAAATTATTTTATTTATAGAATGATAAGTTAAAAACTCGAACATACGCACAGAAATACATAATTAAAGAGTGACAAAAGCATTTGATAAGAAAAAAATGGGACATTTTAAAGCAATAGAAAAACAATTATCAAGCATGAAAATACATGTTACTTTAATCACCGTGTTTTTTATAATAAAATCCAGTGAATCAAATTCTTTTAAAAATGAACAATTTACGAACAATCCAGGAATATATTTTGAAAATATCTCCCCATTATTCTTAACTGTTTCACAGTGGAACCTAGTAACCTATTACAACATATCTGATTATGAACAAAATTATGCAGCAATTAACCTATATTATATTAATCTAAAATACCTTTGTGATAAATACCAATCAACTTATGAAAAATTAACAGAAACTTGCACGGAATTACAAAAAATTAATTTTCAAACTATCAACAAAATAAACGAAGAACACGAAATTGTTCAACAATACCTAGAAATCGACGAAACCAATTACAACACAGCTAAACAACGAACAAAACGAAGTTCATATTTCGGCGGAATTGGAAAATTGCAACGAATTTTATTTGGAGTACTAACGGAAGAGGAAGGAGAAATATTTGAGGACAAGATCAAAACACTAGAAGAAAAACAAATAAAAACCTTAATGATTCAAAAAGAACAAATCAAAATATTCAAAAGTTCATTAGATTCAGTGAATGAAATTACTTCAAGCTACACAAAAATTAAAGACACCATAGATATTAATATGAATAAACTAAATAATGAATTAAAAATACAAAAAGACGAATTAAAAATCTTAAATATAGTAGAATCAATATTACTATATAACTCACTCTATACTGAATTACTAAATCAATACGCAAAAGATACCACCTTACTATTAAACATAATAACAAATGCACACAAAGGACAGGTTAATCCCCAAATAATTAAACCAAATGAATTATTGACACAGCTTAAAGATATCAAAACAAATTTACCATCAAATCTAAATTTACCTATAGAAATAAACGCCAAAAGCTATTTTGACTTTATGAAATTAATCGATTTAAATATTTTTTATGTCAATCATCTAATAATATTTGTAATAAATATACCACTCATAGAAAACATACCCTTTAATCTTTACCATATCATAAGTTTACCGGTCCATGTAAATAAAAACGATTTCGTTTTTATTCAATCTACCCACGAATTTATAGCGGTAGAAAAAAATAAACAGTCTTACATATTTTTTACCCAAAATCAAATTAATAAATGTAAAACAACTAAACAAAAACTAATCTGTGAATCAAGTATGCCGATTTCAAACAATATTAAATCAAGCTGTGAATTTCAATTATTTACAAAAGAAAACAATATGCCAGAAAATTGCGAAATAAAAACGGTACCAATATTTAGTGACCTATGGCACCAACTAGGAAATAGTAATCGTTGGATATACGCAACCCACAAGCCCATTGAGTTAATCGTAAGCTGCCAGGACGAAGTAGAGAATATAGAAATAAACAAAGCAGGAATATTAAGTCTAAATCCGAATTGTAAAGCTTTCACTAAAAACAACATTATATTAGCTAAATATCTGGGAAAAAGCAATTTTTCTAAAGACTACGTACCACAATTTCACTTATCTAAATTAACTGAACACTTCAATGACAAAATAAGACAACAACAACCCGATGGCGAAAACCAAATTAGCCTTAATACAGCGGTGAAGTTTAATGATTTAAAAATATATGCAAAATCAATGTCAACCTTAGATGAACAAAATATAACAAATGAATTAAGCTCAAAATCAAATGATAAAATAAAAACGGTACATTCTGTAGGAATATCGACGATAGCGCTAATATTAACCGGAATTATCCTATTCAAAATAATAAAATCACTCAAGACAAAAAATAAAACTAAGCCATTAGACACTGTGAAAGTAGTATACAATGCTCAGAGCAACCAACTTCAAGTCCAGGATAACACAGAATCAGCCTAAAAATAAATATTAAGATTAATTAAACATTAGGTAATAAATAAATATGTATAATTTTTCCTTTCGGGGGTGAAGAAAAAAAGAAAAAAAAAAAAAAAAAAAGAGAGACTAGGTTTAAGACAAAAGGGGAAAACTAACCATTATTCTTAAAAAAAAAAAAAAAAAAAAAATGTAAAATAATGCAATTAAGAAGAAAATTAACCATTTATTTTAAGGTACCTATACATAAAATGTAAAATTAAGTTAAGCTAGAAAACTAACCATTATTCTTAAGGCCAAATGTCAACAAAAACAAAAATGTAAAATAATAGAATTAAGTAGAAAAATTAACCATTTATTTTAAGATACACATAATAATGTAAAATTAAGTAAAAAATCAACAACTATTTTTAAGACAAAAAGCAAATGTAAAATAACTCAACTAAGCAGAAAAATGTAACATATTATTATTATTTTTTTTTATTTTTTTTTTTTTTTGGGGGTACATATAAAATTGTAAAATTTAAACCAACCATTTGTAAAAAAATTGTGTACCACCTAATATATAGTATAAAAATGTTCAAAATTAAATCAAAACTATTTCAAAACTTAATGAAAATAAATAATATCAAGAAACGAGAATCAAAGAATATAAATTTCAAATCCATTTTTACAGATGGACAAAAAAGAAGAAATCGCGAGACTAGAAAAAAAAATCAAAAATGTCCAATTCAATATAAATAGAATCCAACAAGGTAAAGAAGCATACAATAGAAGCAAAATCAGGAGGTCTCGAAAACACGAACAACAACAGCAAGTAAAAAAAAACAAAACAGCAGAGACAATAGCAATAGAGGAAGAAATAAGAAAGAAATTTGAAAACCTGGTGGATTTTATAACAAGAGAACAAAAAAATAAAGAAAAAGAATGATATTATAATGTCGTATAACCACAAATAGGTACGTAATATGCATATGGAAGATTCCCATTACAAAATACCTATGTGTAAAAATAAAAAAATATGAGGACATATTTTATTTGTAGTAATGGGACTGTTGTATATATAACGAAATTATAAAATATCAAAATAAAATACGAAGCAGAAAGTCAATCAAACCGAGTCAGCAAAATTGCCACAACTACTTAAGGCGACGTCTGCGACGGGAGCGGGGTTGTTGTTTTGTTCGTTTCGCTCATTGTAGTAGCCAGCGAGCTGCAGTATTTTTACGTTTCTTTTATTATTTATTTTTGATATATTTTATTATATTTAATTCTTTTTAAAAAACCAAGTGTCACTGTTTTTCTTTACGCCTTTTTTTTAGAATATTTTTATCTTACGAGTTGATACAGAGACGTTGTGGTGAATAACACTTTTAAAAACAGGTAGTAAGACACTGTGGTACTTACTTTCTCGCCCAGTACTCGTTATCGTGGTCAGTCGAGAAAGAGTAAGACTTTGTCTAGGTAAAAGATACCTCACCCTCGAACATCCAGTACTCGTTATCGTGGTCAGTTGTTCGGGAGTAAAATAACCTTAGAGTTGTATAGTGTAAATCCTGCTGGACTTTTATTTAATTATCCTATTGCGCAGTACTCGTTATCGTGGTCACCAAAAGGAGAACTTAAATTAAACTCATACAGCAGGTGTCAATAATTTACTCGTTCGACGGTTAGAGAATCGGAAACCGAAATATATCTGTTATATACGTCAAGCCTTTGCGTGGCGTATACGACAATAGGATATTTTTCATAATTCATGTTGTTGTACTCTTGTACTCAAGCTTATCTCACCTGTTTTCTATGTGAGATATTGGACTTTCATAAGACCTACATCTAATATCGAAATGATTAGATTTAAAAAATTATCTTTCGGTTTCGAACAGATAATTTTTTGAATACACAACTTTTCGAAGATATGATTTTTCAACGACATGAATTTTTGAACATACATTTTAGAACAGTTAAAATTCTCCTCTAACAGTAAAATAATGATAGTATGTGTGTTGTATTAGCATTTTTATTTCTTGAATTTTCGAATAGACACAATAGCTCTGACATCGATTTTTATAATGGAATTTCTATTATTAAATTCTAAGTTCGAACTCTATAAGATAAAAATGTGTATTTGAGTTCGTAATATCATTTGACTCCATAATACCATCAAATACGAGTGTTTATCATGAAAAAAGTATAAAACAGTAAACTCACGTGAAAATGAAAATATAATGTATAAGCGAAACTTAAATACGTATTATTTTACCAGTTTACCTTATACACATCATACAATATTATTGTATAATATAATAATATGAAAATTAATTAATTATTTATACGTACTGCGATTCCAAACGTGAGCACAAGTAACCCGACAAAGACCATGTCAAACTTCTTGAGCAGTTCGAATTTGATGTCGGTGCCCATAAACGCGAAGACGGATGGCTGGAGACCAGTCCATGCGTATTCGAAAACCTTTTCGACCGGTTTTCCTTTGCACAGGTCCTCGTCATCGTCATTTTCTTCTACCGAACTCGCTGGGTTGTTTCGGGTTTGCATTTTCAATCTCCACCTCCAACCGGTACCAGCCACGAACGCCGATATGATGCACGCCAATGGACCGGCCACAGGATAACCACACCATCGGCTGCCGGTCATCGCTAGAAATCCACCAGCGCCCAGCAGGAAAGACCTTTTAGCTGTTATCAATCGGTCCAACCGCTGTTTCGGAATACAAAAACAGGACATCATGTAATCGTGCAGTTACAAATATAATTATAATACAATCATCGAATCTTTATAATTTTATTCGGTCATCATGTTTTGACCACCTTGGATGGGTATAAAAAATTAAATATTTCACCATATTATTATGTTATTTAGAAAATAATATTTATACAGTCATAAATTAAAACATTTTAATCATTTTATATATTAGGAACTTGGCTAATGGTAATTGAACCATTGCTTTTTCGATGTTACCATTAATAGATTGTAATATGTATAGGACCAATACTATTTAAATTTAGAATATGTTTTTAGGAACTAATTCAGGGGCACATTAAAGAGGGGAGGAATGAGTAGTTTATCCAGGCGGTAGGGGCGGCAAAAAGTCTATATAATATCGACTGTAACATAATAAAAATACAATATTTGGTAAAATAAATATTAATTATTTTAGTTTACGAATTTACTGTGTCACTTGTCGGAATATCTAAAATCGTAATGAAATCACATTTTATGACTATTAGATACTTATTGGGAGAGAACGCTGTTGTGGTCTTATGGACCTTGTTTTCGTAATAACTACGTGATATTTTTAATATTATCATCTATTGATATATCATTGGCGATAGGAAGTGATAAGCTGTAACGGGCACGCTATGTATCATTTATATGTTAATTTTCCAGGGTTTCATGACAGATTCACCCCCGTTCGACCTAAAAATGTATAAGCTTTCTATCGAAAATAGCCGCCTTGCTGCTCACATACAATTATTAAGTACCTATACTACTTCGACTCTATAGTTTACTGTTCGATTATATTTAATATTGTTTAAACTTTTGTCATAGATTCTATCATTATAATAATATCATGGTCTGAACAGTTTATACAGCCTATATATCAGCCACGGTGTAGTGACCACTGATCAGTGAGTAGTGTTGTAGGTACACTAATTGTTGTACAGTTGTGTTTGTGAATTTGTGTGTTTTGACGTGTTGTTCGAGTGTAAACGTGTTATACTATAATATAATATATTTTTCAAAATTTAATAACTTGTATAAATTGTATCTGGTTCATGTATTTATAAATATTGCAAAAGATAATACGTGTAGCAAGACTAGACTACTGTTGAGTAAGCATATAGATTTTTTGTAAGTGAAATCTATGTGAAAAACGTCTAGCGTATAGCGTAGCGTACTAGAGTATACTGAATTAGGGGCCAGGGACTTCATATATTTTATGTTTGCTCCTCCATACATTGTCCCTGGGAACTATAATAATTAAAGTATAAATCTTAAAATCCATAAAAAGTTATTCGTTGTCTATAGTTGGGTTTAAATGTAGGTATACTAAGCAGGTATTAATAAAAATCAAAAATCAAAATATAAAATTAATTTCGAATATGTTTGTATTTATTAGTAAAAATCAGTTAACTGTTATGTAAAATGTCAAAAGAATTTTTAGGTCAATTTACTTGCGATTTGTTGGTGTTTTCGGTTTCTTGATTTTTGTATATCACGGCCCACGGTGATGGAGGCACAAAAATCAAAAAGAAACCCCATATGACTCCCGCCACGGTTCCTATGGATACGTCGATGAGTCCTTGAGTTATTTTAGAGGTCAAACTACCTGAAATAGTTACAACAAACGTATACAATAAAATATTGAAATTAATGGTTCGAATAATAAAAATGTAATAAACCTAATCGTAAACGACTTGTTCACTTAACCATTACATACATTATGTTAAACAGTATGTATATATCAATAAGCTGATAAGTTTAAAGTTAAATATAAGTCATTGCTGGGTGACGTTAACGTCACAAAATTGTGTTTATTTCATGTTTACGGTCACTCATTGTATACCTATTACCTACTTACCAGTCAGAAATAGGACAACCAATGCTATCCGAAATGCGCAGATGGACACAATATTGTCCAGACTCGACGCGGCAATCAACAGAGTGTTAACGCCTTTTACTTCACCATAGCCCATACGTTTCAGTTGGAATAGGCTCGGCACTAATATGGCCGGACTAACGGCAGACAGTGTGAACCTTTAAAACAACAAACTGCAACTTATCAAAGGTAATTTTCGACGAGCAACAATATTTAATTTAATATTATATCCGTATTGTTGAATTGTAGTGCTAAATAAAATAATATAATTACATTAGGATGTCTAAATCGATGTGCAAAACTACAAATCACTCTACAGTCTGCGTGCTGGCTAAATTCCCGGTTTTCAAACGTATTTTAATACAAAGCAATAATTAATAAACTATACTTCCAATTAATACACAAT